CAATATATAAATATAATATAATTCTAAAAATAAATTTAAAATTATTTTTAATAATGTTTATAAATTAATAATAACAAAGAAAAAAATATAAATTATTATAATAATATTAAAATTAAAAAAAAATATAAATACAAATGTATATAAAAATAAATAATAAATACAATTATTTATTGTAAAAAATAAGCATAATAAGAAGTCTTTAACTATTTTAAAAAAAAATTTAAAATTTTTCGTTTCAATTCTTTATTTTTAATTTTTTACAACAATCTTTGCAATACCAGCTACCTTCAGGCGCTTGTTTAATTCCAACACATTAATAATGAAACCACTCTTTATCACAAAATTGATTTTCACATCCAATCCTAAAATAATAAAAAATATAAATAAAACAAAAATAAATAAAAAAATAAAATAAAATAAAAAAAAAGAATATATTATTTTCTTAAAATTTTATACATTTAATCAAAACAAGGTTTTTAGCAATAACAATATTTTGGCTCACTTTTATCAATATTCCAATCTAAATAAAATTATTCTTCTATAATATATATATAAATATATATATATATATATATATATATTATATATAAATTTTATTAATTTTTCCTTTATATTTTTTTAAAAAAAACCATTTATTTATTTTTATTTTGCTTTTAGTAAATATTTTTTTCTTTTTTTCTCTCTATTGTTCCATTTTTTTATTAATGGTTTTATAAATAACATTAATTTTATTATATTTAATCTTATTATTTTTTCAAATCTATTTCTAATTCTATAATTGAATTATCAATTATTTCATACATTTATTCTGATAATTTTATTTTTTTATTTGCTATGTCAAAACTTTCTACATAGAGTTCTTATATTTTTTTTTTATTGCTTGTATTTTTTTCTTATCCTATATTTTTTAATTTTTTTTAATTTTTCTTGCAATAAAAGAATATTTGTGTTTTATTATTCAAATTTTATATCTAATTCTTTAATTTAAATAAGTTAATTTCTAACTTTTTCTGGTAAATGATTAACTTTTTATAAATAGTTATTAATCATTTATATTTAAAAAGAAATTAATATATGTTTTTTTTTCTTTTTTTAAATATAGAAATAAATATTTTAATTTAAATTTCTTTCTAATAAAATAAAAAAAAATTATTCTAAAATAAATTAAAAATATTTATTTAAGATAAATTATAAAAAACATATAAAATTAAGTTTATATTAATATACTTATTTATCTAAATTATAAGTAAATAAATATTATTATATTTTTAAATTATAATAATATAATTAATTATTTTTATTTTTTTAATATATTATTTTTTTATTTTGTTTTTTTATAAATAAATATTTTATCTTTTTATCATTTTATTATTTAATTAATTTGATTCTTATATAAAACACATCTAATTTAATTATAATTTATCTAGCCTAATAATAATAATATTATATAATTATAAAAAATATATAATTGAAAGTTTCTATACATAAATTTAAAGTAAATTTATAGTTTTGTATTTCCTTTCTATTTTTTACTATTTAAATTATAATTTAAAATATTATATTATATTCATATATAGATTAAAAAATATTTTATATATATAATTTATTATAATTTCTTTTATATTTTTTAATTTAATTTTTTTAAAAAAAATTTTTTATTGTTATTTTAAAAAAATTATTACTTCTTTATATTTATTACAAAAATCATAAGAAAATTTAAACATTTATATAAAATTCTTTTTAATAATTCATAAAGTAAAACATTAAATTATTTAAATATATTTTTAAAACTACGAAAATAATTTTTAAAAATAGATATTTTAATTTTTTATATTTTTACATATTAATTTATTTTTAGTTTAGAATTAATTTTCATGAAAATATGTATACTTTCTGTATTTTAAATTTTTAAAAAATATCTTTATCTATATTAAAATAATATATGCATTTCCTTAAAAAATATAAAAAAAAAAAATATATATATTATATTATAAACATTTATATATTATCGAATAAAAATTTTAAATCCAATATTCATATTAATAAACCAAAAAATATATATCAAATAGTAATATTTAAATTTTGAAAAAAGTTTTATTTAAAAATATTATTATTATTTTTATATAATTTTTTTAATTTATTTTTAAAATATAAAAATATTTTAATGCTTTATTAATTCCCTTTTATTTAATTGTTAATAATTATTAACAATAAAATGTTTATAGTAGTCTATATTAATATTTATTATAACCTTTTTATAACCTTTATTTATTTATATTAAAATAAATTATATTTTATTTAAATTATTATATATTAAATATTAAAAATGATAATTATATAATTTAGTTATTAATACATGATATTAATGATGATTTTAATGTATACATTTTTTAAAAATAATATATTTTTATCTATCAAATATAATTTTACTTACATTTATATTATAAATGAGGTATGAAATTGAGGTATATTGAAGTTTTATAATGCTTTCAATTTTTATTTTTATAAATTTTAATATAATTAGATATATTTCTTAATTAATGAAAATTATTAAATTTAAAATAATATGATTTTTTATATTTACTATTTAATTATTATTATTATTATTATTTTCTAAGTTTACCAATTTTTAATATTAATTTTATTAAAAAAATATTTCTTATATCTTAAATTTTTAATTTGTCTGTAAAAATATTCGTTTATTTTAAAATTTTATATTCATAGATTATATAAGAATAAATATTTTACAATTTATACCTTTATATCTGAGTTATTTGATACTATTTTTCCAATTTACATAATTTTTATACTTTTAAATTTTTTAAATAGTTCTTAGTTTCATTTAATATTATCTATATCTTTTTAAAATGATGATTTAATAATGTCCTTAGAAAAAAATATAATGAAATTTTAATTAATTATTTTATTGGTTAGAATATTTTCTTTAATTACATTTTAAACATATTACTAGTAAGCGACATTTTAGCAAAAAAAATAAATATTTCATTTAATTTATTTTATGTTTACATGGACTTATATTATAATTAAATTATAAATTTTAATTATTTGCTTTATTAATATATTTACAATTTATTATAGAATTTTTTGTTATTTATATGATACTTTCAACTTAAAATACTTTGATGGGAAATACTTGACTGATTTCGGAACTTCAGGGAATTTTTTACGAAAAGTTTGATTTCGGTCAGAAAATGTTTGGGAAGAAAAAGTATGTGTTAATTTTTATATACAAAAATAAATTAAATATTTTTTTTATAATATTTAATAATACTTATTATTATTATAGCAAATTAATAAATATTCTAATTTTTATTTTTTAAAATTATTCAATTAATTTGTAAACTTATTTTTTATCATTATAAATAATTAAAATTTAGTAAAATTTTATGTGTTCACAATATTAATTTTATTAAGACTAAATAATATTCTAATTATAATTAATTTTAAATTTTTATATAATAGAGAGATAATTTACTTAAACTACATATTATAAACTAAATAAATTGAATTATTAGTTTAATAATGTTTTGATTTAAAACTTTAGAAATTAACATTAAATTATTTTAATTATTTTTTTTTTCTTTATTTAAATTATATGTTTAAATAAAATATCTATATTTCTAATTAATAATATTTATTAAAGAGTATATTATTCATCAAACTACAACAATGCGACAAAAAGATCTACAATATACATATCTTAAATAATTGATAAACCTTCATAAATAATTTTGATGAATTAAAATCATTATTACTAAACTATGTATTATTTAAAAACTTAAATAATTATTAAGTATTTTTTTATCAAAATTCTAAATTTAAGTATTCTATCTCTAATATGATAAATACCATTTTTAAAAAAAGAGATTTTACTACTTTAATTTACGCAAAATGTAATTAAATATCAATATCAAAGTATATTCCATATATTTCATAATTTATTAGTATATAAGGATATATATATAAAACACTTCCACATTTTTGCTACTTCCAACGATTGATATTTGTCTGTTTTATTTATAATAAAATATTATTATATTTTGATATAATATAAATATTTTTAAGCCTAATATTTTTGTATAATTAATTCAATTTATAAAAGTTAGATGCTTCCCTATATTAATTCATCTTAAATAATATAAAAAAATTAATAATATTAATTTTAGAATCATTTTTTTTTTTTTGAATTTGTTAAAAATTCAAATAATAATATTGAATTTCTAAGTAACAGATATTATTTTTTTATAATTCTTAAGTTTTATCGATTATTTTATAGCATAATATTTAGCTAATTCAAATTGCTATTGTAATAATTAATTTGGTAAATTATTATTATATTTTTATAGTTTTATTATTAATTTTTAATATAATTAGTAATGTATTAAAAATTTACATTTTAAAAAATTATATTAAGTATTTATCAATATTTTTTTATAATATATATCATGAGCTATTTTTTTTTAAATTAACAGAACTTATATCATTAAACTTTATAAATTACTTATTTAAATTATAAAATCATTTATTTAAAAATAAATATAAAAGCAACTTATTTATTTAATATAGATATTTTTTTAATTATTTTTCAACATTTAATATAATAATCAATATTTATAATTAATTATAGATTTTAAATTTGATTAATATATTGATATAAATTGTTTTTAGTGTTTCAATTAACTTTTTATAAATATAAAATATTATTATATGATATAATTATTTTTATTTTATTATATTAAGAATTTTAATAAAGAAATAAATTATTAAAGATATATTATAATGATTAATAATTATAAATTATAGATAATACAAAAAAAACTCATTATATAAAAACAAATAAATATAAAATGAAATAAAATATATATATATATATACATATATAAAATAAAAGTATTTTATAATAGAGTAAATATAAAAATATATAAAATTAAAATTTAAAGAAAAAAAAAATCCAAAAAAAAAATTAAAAATAAATATATATGAAAACACATCTTAATTACTAAGACCTTGAGAATCTTTAAATATCCCAAAAACAAAATTGGGGTCCTGATCCAAATTACAAATTTCCCAGATTCGAGAACATGGCATTTGCTCCTTTTAGCAGATTAGAGAAGTTAGGAAAATGTTGTGATTTTGCGAATATGATGGCAGTCAGAACAGGCCAAAAGCAAATCCAAAGTAGTAATATGCCTTAATTATAATAGCAATAAAACAACTAATAATAATAATAATAAGTACCTCTTCCAGAAATTCCTTAAGAAGAAGGTGAATTTATTCAAGTAACAACAACAAAAGACAAAAAATCAAAGGCAAGTTAATTATAACATAAGCAAAATGCTTAATAAATGTAATAAGCTATTTAATAACAAAAATAAATGCAAGAATAATATAGTAACTCTTATGTAAAACAACCTTCTAGATAAAGATAAAAAATAAATCCTAATAAAACAAAAATAGTTGTAATTAGAACCAAATTCAAAGATTCTTCAAATATATAAGCAAACTGGGTACTTTTAACTGAAAGTTAAAAAATTAATATTGAATAACATCCAATTAAAGAAGTAAAATTCACAGAACTTGAATGCACTGGTACTTTAAAAAAATATAATAGATCTTATGATAAAATTGATCCTCGATATATCAAAAAAGTCGAATGTAATTAAACTGTAATCCTTCCTTCTGCTTCTTCTTTAAAAGACCCAGTCCTTATTAGATTATTAGAAGAAGATTTAGAAAATAAAATATAAAAACCTACAGGTAATTTTATTATTTTTTATCCTATTTTTTTTTTTTTTTAAATTCATCTAAATTTTATTCTTTTATATAAAAAAAAATAGTTTACACTACCGATGCTTTATTATTGGCTTTAATGACTTTAAAAAAAGGAGAATTTCCTTGGGATATATATGTATAAAAAGATGGAAACTAGATTATATTAGACAAATATGAAGCTGATAAATATGAAGGAAATAATAAACTATTTGATTATATGGAATATTAAACAGTAAACGAAAATGGAAATATTCTTCCTGAAGAAGAGAGAGAATTAAATAAGCTATGTATAGAAGCGACCACAGTAACTCGTTAATTCTAATATTAAACAACTTAAGGAGAAACTGAATTATGGGAAATATCTGAAGGAAAAGAAAATTAAGTCGAAAATATGGAAAATGAAAATGTCGCATTTAAATATATAAACTGTAATATAGATGATAAAATAGACATTAAAGTAAGAGTTTAAATTGATGCTTTTGATTATGTAAAAGAATATGACCCTGAAAATAATGATGTTGTGAGTGAATAAAAAGTACCTATTCTTATCAGAACTATTAATGAATATGATCATTCTAATTAATGGAAGAATAAACTTTTAACTTAAAAAGGTACAGTTACAGGTGGTGAATATATTAATAATTGTTGCAATTATATTAAATGGCTTATTCAAATGGAAATGACAGGAGCTAAAATGCTTAAATTGGGTTTTACTTCTAGAGTTAGTTCTAAAGATAATACTACTCATGATATTTTATGTGTTGATTCTTTTACTTTTGAAGATTTGTTTAAAAATATTTAATTCAGATCACTTGATTAATGGTAAGTTGTAAAGTACTTCATTGATTTTATATGTAAATAACCTGATGGAAATTATATGTTTGTTAAAGGAGCTTTTAAATAATCGATTAGAACATATGAGTTACCTTAAGAAGATGTATAGGAAGAATAAGAAAACGATGAAGAAATTAATTTATGAAAATTATTTTATTTATATTTAAGGCTTTTCTTTTTTAAAAAATAAATAAATATTTAATTTTTAATTTTTTTTTTATTTTTTTTTCAAATTAAAATTAAAACTTTTAATGTTTCTTAATCAAAAAAATCCTTAAATTAAATAATATTATCTTGATCTAAATATTATTTTAAATAATTGAATTTTTCAAAAAGTAATTTTATTGAATATCCAAGATGAAAGCCTAGTCCATTATCATTTTAATTTTATTCTATTGAAGAATATTCCTTAGTATATAAAATATATTAATTATTATTTTAATTATCATTTAAAATTTCTACACCTTCTTTTCTTAAATATTCTATTAAAATCTAAGGAGCATTTAAAATTTATGGAACAATAGAAGAATCATGTTCTATAAATAAAATTTTAATATCTTAGTTTATTTTGGTTTAAATATTATTTTTGTTATTATTATTATTATTATTATTATTATTATTATTATTATTAATATTATTATTACTTTTCATCAAAAATTATATTTCTTAGTCCCTTATGTCTATGTCTTCTTTATATAATTGAATTTCTTATTTTAGATTTTCTATTTCTTAATTTTTTTCTAATAATTAATTTTCTAGATGTTTGCTTTTTAACCTTTGTTTTATTATAAAATTCTTTAATTCTTCTTTTTATAAATACTATGTTTTTATACAATTATAATAAAAATACTTATTTATTCTTATTCATTTAAATTTTATAATAACTAATCTATTTTATCCATTTATTTTAAATATTATTTTTTTATTATTATTGATAGAAATTTATAATTTAAATATATTTATGAATATTGCTCAATATAATTATCAAATATATATTTTTTCTTATCAAAATAATAATTATTTAAATTTGTAAAAATAATAATATATATTTTTATTAATATTTTTAAAAAATATAATATTATTCATTATAATTTTTTTTTTTTTTTTATTTTTTTATAATTAATAATTTTACTTTTTTTATTTTACATATTAATTTTTTTTTTTATTTAATTTTTTTTTATTTTTTTGCCTTTATGATTTACTTGATTTTAAGTTAAGTATAATAAAATATCACAAACAGAATGACAAAGCCCTCAATAAAATCTATAACTGTTTCCATATTTTATATATTTTATTTTTATATTTTTTTAATTACTTTTAGAAATACGATACATCTATTTAAAAACATATTTTCAAAAGTAATTAGTATTTTTTTATAAAAAAACGAATATATTTTTATACCTTAATAACAAATGGTTTAGATTTTTCGAATAATTTTATTTTTTAATTTCAAAATAAAAAACTATTAATAAAAGTTAAAAATAAATATATAGTTAAAATATATTCACTAAAAATTTCTATAACTTGTTAGGTTTTAAATTTAAATTTTGAATATGTAATTTCTAATTATTATTTTTTTAATTAAAAATGTATATACCTTTTAAACACTGTACTGTATTTTTTATTTAAACAAAGGTTCTTTATTTTTGTTAAATTAATATGAAATTACTTATATAGAATTTCTAGAGTTATTTGTATCTCCTCGAATAATTCTTATATAGAGCTTTAATGTATATTTAAAAGTAAATCTATATATCTATAATACATGTAACTTAAAAGTATACGCCAAATCTTGCTTAATATACCAAAGTAGAAAATAACGTAAATATCATATAATTAAACATAATTAATTATATTTCGCTGTTAATTTGAATCTATTTACTTAAAGTTTCTTTCAATTTAAAATTTAGTCAATTCAGAACATTCTTATTGTTGATTATAATTATTAAACTATTTATTTAAAAATTTTATAATTAGAACATTTATTATAGACTATTTAATTAATACTTTTAATTATTATAATATAAACAAATATTCATATATAATCTAAAACTGTTAAAACTGGATATATTTAAATATAAAGATTCTTGATTAAATTTAAATTAAAAAAATTGTTTAAATTAAAAAGAAATATAGAAGTAATTTATTTAGAATATTAAAGATCTAATTTAAAATAGAAATTTTTAATAATTTATTTTATTTTAGAAAATAAATATTGAAAAGTAAAGAATCACTAAATTATAAAATAAAAAATAAATATTACCAAGTTATCTATTAATGATAGGAAAATAAAAATAAAAAAAATTTTAAAAAAGCAAAGAATAACAAAAAAAAATTTATATTTTTTTAAAAAAAATAAATAAATAAGAAACTATATATATAAAAAAAAAATCATTAATGAAAATAATAATAAGATAAACAAAATTTGGTCAAAAATAATAATTACATTTATTAGATTTTGATGAAAACAAAGATATATCAAATTTAAAAGAAATTATATTTAATAGATTTTAAATTATTCCTTAAAACTAACATTTAACAATCAAAAAAAAAAAAGAAGCTGTAAAAAAGAAATATATATCTATAAAATATACATAAAAAAAAAGATATAATTAGTAGAAGGCTTTACTTTAAAATTTTATTAATTAAAGCCATTGATTATATTAAATTTAAATGACGAATCTATATAAAAGGTAAAAAATTAAAAAAAAAATTAAAATAAAATATCTATTAAGAGCTTTGAAAAAAAATTCTTTAAAATACTTCAAATAATATCGAAAAATCAAAAAATTTTAAAAAATCTTATTTAAAAAATATAAAAAAATTCATATTAAGAATTCTAAATTCTTTTAAATTCAAATATTAATCTATTAAATAAAAAAGATAAAAATGGTTGGAATTTGATACACTATTCAGTATATTTAAAAACATATCAAATAACTAAAATTCTTTTAAAGTCAGGAGCAAACCCAAATAAAAAATCCAAAAACACTGAATGGACTCCTCTAACCTTATCTATAAGTCAAAAAGATATCAAATCATTCAAAATATTAACTAAAAATGCTAAAACCAATATTTATTTTTGCACAAAAAAACTTCTTTCGGCACTTCATATGTTAGTTGTGAGAAAAAAGCTGTCCTTTTTGGAATATATAATAAAATAAAAGCCTATAGACTTTTAAAAAAAGGATCCTTTTTATAATTTAAGTCCTTTAGAAATGTCTGATATGGAATTAAAGCACAAAATTGAGCATCTTTTTTTGTAAAAAAATACTCAATAAAGTTGTTTTTTAATACCTTTTTTACATTTCCCATGTTTTTTTTCTAAAATATATATTTTAATAAGCCGTTAAGGACTTTCAATATATAAAAAAGGTGTTGTTTTATAAAAAATAGACATTGAAAATATCTAAAATATATAATTTTATAAAAAAAGTTCTTTTTTTTTCATTAAAACCCTTTATTTTTTGTAAAAATAATTCATAAAAAAGACTATATTTTATTAGCTTTTTCGTCTTATTAGAAAGCTAAAAAATGTGTTTTTTTTATAAAATATTACCTTTTTATTTCTTAGAAAGAGCAAGAATACAATTTCCAGGAAAAATTCAAAATCGAAAAAGAACTTGGAAAAGGCTCTTTTTCAACTGTTTTTTTAGTAAAAGAAAAAAAAACACAAAAAAAATTTGCTTTGAAAATCCTTTAGTAAAAAGAATAAGGAAAAAATGAAATTGAAGTTTTAAAAAAAATTAGTAATTTCCCATTTATTATTTAAATGAATAATTATTTTTTTTCGTAAAAAAATGCATTTTTGGTACTCGAATTTTCGCCTAGAAAAACTTTGGAATTTCATATTTAAAATAAAGCACCTTTTTGTGAAAAATAAGTACTTTTTTTTGCTTCTGAAATGCTTTTAGCCTTGATTTTTCTTCATTAAAATGGCATTTTAATCAAAGATTTTAAACCTTCTAATATTTTGATAGGTAATGATGGGCATATTAAACTAATTGATTTTAATTTAGCGCAAAAAAACGTTAATAAAAATATGTTTATGAACTCTTTTTGTGGATCTCCTGCTTATTTAGCACCTGAAGTAGTTCTTGGAAAAGGAATGTCTTTTTTTTCGGATATCTACGCATTTGGTTGCATAGTTTATGAAATGTTCTGTGGTTTTCCCCCTTTTTTTGATAATAATATTGAAGTACTTTATGAAAATATAAAATAAAGGGAAGTTGATTTGCCTATTTGGATTAGTGAAAATGCAAAAGATTTATTAAGAAAAATTTTATCGAAAAATCCTTTTGAAAGACCTTCTTTTTAAGAAATATAAAATCATAGTTTTTTTTAAGATATTTAATGGGATTTAGTTTTATAGAAAAAATTGTTTCCTCCTTTATTACTTTTTTAGGAAAATTTAGAAAACTAAGTTTATGATGATTATTTTTAAAGAATTCCTTTAAATAATTATTAATATTAGGAAAAAAATGATTGTTATGAAAATGAATAAAAAGATGTTTTTTTTTAAGAATAGGGAGCAATGTTTAAAGAAAATGATTTTTTGTAAAAAACTAATATTTATTTTTAATAAAGTGGGAATTAAGATATAGAAAAAGATTAAATTTTCGAAGAAATTATTATAACTAAATGAATGAAATATAAAATAATTTTAAAAAATAATATTAAAGTGTTTTTTACGTATATATAATGAAAAATATATAAATAAAAATAAAAATATCAAATTCATTTTTTTTTATTATTTATTATTGATATTTGTCATTTAAAAATTAATTTAAATTTTTATATTTTAGGTAAGATTCTCTAAAATATAATTTTAAAAATAAATAAATTAATATTTTTTGTATTAACTTTAAATTACATAAAATTTTAAAATTGTTAAACTAGTATATTTTTTAATTTTAAGTATTGATATTTATTATATAACTTAAATTGTTCAAATTATAATTAGCTTCCATATATAAAAATTTTCAAATTTATTTATAAACTAAATTTAATATTATTATCAAAATTAATGTTATATAATATTATTAAAAAAATAAAGTATAAGTTTAATAAAATAAAATAAAAAAAAAATAGACATTATTATTTATAAAGATAAAATTTAAGTAGATATTTTCTAAAAAAAATATG